ATCAGGTTTTTTAGAGTTCGGCAGAGCCGTACTCTTACCATCTGACCTGAAAGACCACTCACCACACAAACTAATCGGCTTCGTTAATAAGCTGGATTTATTTGAACGAGTGTGAATAAGTGTGAGCCACAATAAACCTTTGCTAGTTGCGGTCGAAAGTTGAATAGACCCAGTCACTAAGGACCTAAACTAACCTAAGCGCTTTCTATCTTCAAATTTTCATTTTTTTGTGGCTTAGACCACAAGAAGTTGACAATGATGGCCTGGATAATGTTGTTTTCGAAGAAATATGGTCCAATGACGCCGCCTGCCCAAAATCCACACCAAACAGTGACTTTTTTGGGATGCTTATTCCTTTCCTTGATGCTTATTTATGCTATATAAAGAACCTATCTGTATATTTCAACATGCAAATCAGGAATAGCAGAGCAGGGTTGGACCCATCAATATTATAACATCGAGTGGTCCTAAGCTGAGATCATACACAGAGAGGAACATTGGTTTAGGAGGAAATTCAAAGAAGCCGCATACATGTTGTCCAACAATGTATTCATCCAAGCTAGCGTGGAGATATGCAACATATGGAAACAAATATTCAAGCCAAAAATAGCCAACTCCCGCCAAACGGTCATCCCCCACTAAATCGGTGAAGCGGAAAAAGAACAGCGGAGATAAGTGAAAGTACCTGAATGACACATAAATGGTCATCTCTCGGAGGAATCAGTCCAGTCATCACCCGAAGACGATTGTAGATACTAACTACTGGTATTAGTAATTTTTCACTGTAAATTCTATACATTTCTGTTGATATGAACAACGTATTCAATTCATTATTCTCTTGTTGTTTGTAATATTATTTTCTGGCGTGGATTATCAAATATGTGAACAATGGAATGAATCCAACAATTTTCGAAAGCTCTTCAAAACGTTAATACTCACTTTGTGAGTAGCAAATATAAATTGTCAAAATCAACTATTCGGCTTTAATTTATCTCATTATGCTGATAGTGATTCCATTTGATTTCGGTCGAAATGAAACACCATATACCTTTAAAATTGTTCCAATAACTAAATTTCACAACACCACTACGGTATAGCACGGCCATAGGCTTAGCTTTTACCTCTTGGTTTTGGACCACATCATACAACGCAATTTAAATAATCGCTGAAACTATTTTCCACGCATCTAAATCACATGAATAGGCATATCCGTCCGCTCTTCCAATATGCACTGCGGCATTCGAATTCTGAAGCGTCATTCGATGAATAATTCCGTATTAACCTCTGACTATGTATACATTATCCGCTTATACAAAAACGCTTCAAAATACCACCAAGTGAAAATCATTCCACTGCAATCCTCTACAGAGTTTCAGCTAAAATGTATAGAAATAAATATATTTTACCTCCATCTACCACAAAATGTAGGTGTTTTTTTGTGAAGATCATATTGACGAAAGTTTTAATAATATGAAAGAATGACAATTTATAAAATTGAAAAATTATTGTGACATAATAGTATATTATGCAACGATCATGTAATGATGGTTATTAAGACACGAGCATTAACCGGGATACGAAACGAGCCGAAGGCGAGTTTTGTATGGTATATGCGAGTGTATTAATAACCATTACATGAGAGTTGCATACGCTATTTTTTCTAAACCCGATAAATAATGAAAAACTATAAATATTATATTTGTATTGAACACATTTACAGTAATTAACTCATATTTTTAAAAAAAAACACAAACTTAATGGTATTATCATGGATATATGAAAACTATAAAGATTCTAATTATATTTATATTGAATATAACAACTGTAATTAATCTGATCTTTTAAAAATATTGGAGTCGATGGTATTCCTTCTATATCGCTGTTTTCAGACATTTTGATAATATAGGTAGGTAATATGAAAACTGATTTTGACAAATAAAGCAATTAGTTACTTAGGTTAGAATCTAGGACAAACAAAGGAACAGGATTCTTGATTGAAAAATTATGGGTTTCTATTGGTTGATAATCTGTATCGTTATGAAAAATCTGTATCATAATGGATATCATTATGAAACGGATTATGGTCATATAAGTGTATTGTTAGAGTACGGGTGTAGAAAAAATGACATTATGACATAGAGAATGCTTTAACGATAATTGAAATGACAAATATATATCTGCAGGAAAAATTAAATAAAAATAACATAAATTGTAACACATAGATAATGAAATATTAGGAAGTTACTGCACGACGTTTTGAATGTTAGTATCTACAATTCAATTCAATTGTTTAAACTGGGGAGAAGACAAAGTTTTGTGCAGAATAATTTTTCGACGTTCATGGAATAACAATTATTTGAGCAATCAAAAAACAAAACATGTCAAATATGGTTGGGTTAGGTTAGATCCAAAGTGAGTGGGTCTATTCTTTCCTCTACCACAAGCCGCAAGGGTTTATTGTGGCAAACACCTATTCACACTCGACCAAATAAACCTACCTTCTCAACAAAGCCGATTAGTTTGTATGGTGAGTGGTCTTTCAGGTCAGATGGTGAGAGTATGGCTCTGCTGAACCTGATTCGGTCCCCAGCGGGGCAGGACAAAGTATGCGCTCTGCTGTTTCTACATTTTCCAAACAGAGGCGACACACACTGTCTTCCGACAGTCCTAGTCTCTGCATATAATGATTAAAATGACAAGGACCTGTAAGAAGGTCCGTTAAACATCGTAGTTCATCTTTACTGTAGTCCAACAACTGTATCAAGCTTCGAAGGGTGAATAAACGCCTTGAAGTGAGTTAATCCTGGAAGATTCTGCCAGAAGTCTATAAAACTTCTTGCCATCCAGGTGTTCAATGTTTGTTTGGCAAAGCCTAAAGCGATGCCAATGACAGGTTCTGATCCAATGAAGCTGCTTGCCGCACCCTCCTCTGGCAAGGGAGTCAGCAGTCTCATTGCCTTCCAGGGCAGTATTGCCAGGAATCTAGACCAGAGACAATCTGTTAAGTTTGCCTATCAAGGAGAGTCGTTATGGGCAATTTGCTACCAATTTAGAGGTTGCTCAGTAGTAGCCAAGACCTTCAAACGCCGCTTGACTGTCAGATGTATCTCAATCAGTATTTTAGACGTGAAGTGGACATCGTCTATCGTCTTGCCACTCCTCAGATGTGGTGATAAGCGTAATATCAAAAATTATGAACTTATTAGTAGACTATGTTTTCCCGGAAAACTGTTTGAAAAAACTATGCATGAAATTATTTTAGGTCATACTCAAAATAAAATAATAGAACAACAATATAGTTTCTCCCCTGTAGATTCATTGATATTGAGTCAACAGAGTTTGGAGTATGGATAATGTGACCAGACGTACCGTTTTGAACGGGACTGTCCCTTAATTCGACTATCTGTCCCGTTGTCCCCAAGTAATGATCTGGGACGTAAAATAGTCCCTTTTTCTGAAATCAGCTCTGAAAAAACCGTTGATAGGTATCGGATGTGGAGCACATATAATTCAAAATGCTATAAAATCTGCTGCAGACGGCCTACCTTCAGATTATGAAAGCATTATTGTGAAAATATATGATTTTTTTTATATTTATACGGTTGGAGTTGAAGCTCTAAAAGAATTTTGGGCTGAAGCTGAAATAGAACATCACCAAATGCTCGGCTACAGCAAATCTCGCTAGCTTGCGCTGATGCCTGCTTTGGAGAGAGTTTTGAAAATAAAATAATCTGTTTTATTCACGAAGATGTTGGTTTCACTATGAGTAAGTTTCTCACAGATTCAAAAATGGAAAATTCTGATTTTCCGTTAGTTTTTTGTAATAAGTAAGTCTAAGAGCCGTATGTGGTTTTTTTTTAAACGTCCGAAAGTCTCTGAATTCATCGACATTGTCCTCAAACGAAACAATATGATTGTCCACATTTCTGTAGTACGAAAAATTTTATCGGTGAAATAAAAATTATGCTAACATAGAAATGGCACTAAACAGTGAAATAGGCCTATTTTGGAATAACAGGCGTGGATTTTTCATTCAATAAACAAATTGAATATGAAGCACTTGCCCTCCTACTGAGTATTATCTTGTGAATATTGGTCAAAATATCTATCCAATGGATTAAAACTGTCAAAGGACCTGACTAAATCAACATTCAATCAGAACCCTTTGACTAGAAACGCTTTTATAGTCATGGTCATCAAGGGTTGTCCTAATATTTGAGAGGAGGATTAATTTGTAAACATCCAATCACTGAGGTAGAGTAGTAATCATGGTTTCATCTTGTGACATTTCCATCGGTGGATCTGCAGGTGGAAATGAATCGTGCGAGCGTGATTTACGGAATAATCCAGCCGTACTTCTGGATGTACGCTGTATTTTCAAACAGTAAGGTTTTTTCGAATCTTCGAGGCAATTCTGATATGCATTTTCTGCTTTGAGTCGGAAAAGTCGCAGGAAGCCAAATCTGGTGAATACGGTGGCTGAAACATGACTACGGTGTTGGTTTTTTGGCCAAAAACTCTCAAACAAGCAATAACGAATGACCAGATGCATTATCGCAAAAGCCATGAATTACTTTTGCACAATACCAAACGCATAACTTCAAGATAATACCCCTTATTGACCTTACAACCATGTGACAAGAACTCCCGATGCACTACGCTACGGTAATCGAAGAAAACAGTAATCAAAACTTCGAAATTTGATCGAACTTGGTGTGCTTTTTTGATCTTGGCTTTCTTGGGCTCTCTTTTGTGATTTGAAACTGATTCAAAATTCAAACATCAAATATAAATATTTCACAAACATATCGAGACTCTCAAAATAGAGTGTGGCCTACTTGAATACGCAATGGGTTTTCTTCAATTATCAGCCAATTCTATCACACATCAATTAAAGTTTTTCCTGAATCTACAAATACTCTAAAAGTATCCATTAACATCCATAAATTCAATTCTCAACAAATTGACTGAAAAACTCTGACTCTTGGTTTTTGTTACAGATTACATAATCACCCTCTGCAATGCTATAGTTGAGGTTCGAGAGTCTGCTTTCAACTAGGTGAGTATCACTTTCAGTTTCAAACATTTACTAGTGGTACAAAGCCATAATTCAGATGTAGAATCTTCAAGAAAGTATTTTATTAATTTGGGACATTTTTCAATTCTTCATATAATCTAGGAAAGCAGTACATTATTTACAAGTTATAACCATATTTCAAATATTTTATACACCTTTCAAACTTTAGATATTTCATAGTCCTCAGGTATTTTTGAGGTAAAAAGTGTCCAATACTTTCTTTTTTGAGATACAGGTCATTGAAATTTTCAAAATATTTTTCGAAACAGTGTTGAAATTTGGAAGCTAATCACATCTCGGAAATTTTTTCACTCGAGGAATTCAAATATGCATACTTTTCAGTTGAATAGAGCAGCAGAAAACATATGTGAGCGAAACAAAGGTAAATTTATGTATTTCACGCTATAAAAAACTTCAACTATTGATTAATATTTAAATCATTCCACAAATTATTCAGAAAAAGCAACAGTAATGACGAATCTTTCATTTATTGCATTCCAAAGCAGAAAACCTCGCAGACCCACTTCTATGTGATCTCATTATCATTCAAATACCTGAGAAATCTTGTGAAGTATCAGATACTCATTGAAAACATCGTATATATTTGGTTTATCAACCCGAAAATAAACAGTAGAGAATTCTGTAGGGTTTAACTTCAGCCTGAATTCATAATAGTATAGGGTCTTCCATCGTACTTTGACCATTGATAACGGCCACCGTGTATTCTAGAGGTAAAACATTTTTAGTTTATGAACCTGGTGAACGTGTGGTCGTTCGTGATAAAGGAAAAAAGGTGTCGTTGAATGGATCAGAGCAATCATAGTAAAAAAAATTGCAAACGTAAAAAAACATTTGAACCAGATTAAAAACTTTCATTTAATAGATTCTGAGTTGCCATCTTTAGTCAATAGCTCAGAAAATGTAAAAATGGATTCAACTGATGTTTCTCCTACTTCGGTCAAGACCTAAAAGAATCGTTAAAGTAATAGATCGGCTCAAAAATGCAAAACGTTGACCTGTCAGTTTGTTTTTACGTGCGGGAATAAAAAGAAGTCATTCGATGCCAAGTCAAGATTATACGGCGGATGACTCATCAAATCGATGTTTTGGGTGCTCAAAAATGCAGTTGTTTGAGCCAATGTGTGAAGGCTTGCATTGTCGTGATGAAAAGTGGTCCTTCTTCGACGGTTGATTTTTCTGATTTCTTGGAAGACAACTGGCAAACAAATGGTTGTGTACCACTCAGAATTTACTGTTCTCCGTTATTCTAGTGGTACGGTTGCGACATGTCCAGTTTTTCCGAAAAAACAGGCGACCATTTTCTTGGAAGTGCTTCGTGCGTGAACAACTTTTGTTGGATTTGGCTCATCCTGAAACACACATACAGTCGACTGCTGTTTACTTTCGGGCTCATACGCATAAATTCTCGATTCATCATCAACGCGAACAAATTTTTTTGACAGTCGAATGTTTATGGAATACTGAATGTATGCTAGTCCCACTATTGCCTAAGGTTGTCTTAATCTCACGATAGGTCACATGATGATCTTGCAATATCAGTTCGCGCATAGCATCAATGGTTCTCGGAAAAACAATTAATTTTGGACGACCTTCACGAAATCTACGACCACGATTAAATTCACCAAACCATCGATAAACATTGGTCCTTGACGGAGCTTCATCGACATAAATCAAATTAAGTTCATCCATGCACTGTTGCTGAGTTAATCCACGTCGATAGTTGTGAAAAATAATAGCACGAAAATGTTCGCGATTTAATTCCATTTTGGGCCGAGATGAATATTTTGAGGTACTGTAAACAACACAAATAGCGCGCGTATATCAAAACGTTCTGAGTACGTATAAGCTCAAAAATGTCCAACTTTACCATAGAGCTGTCAGTTGCCAGATTGCAACACTATGGTTGCCAAATGCCGAAACATAAAAGGCAACCTATCGTTGCCACACACAGTAGCATCAATAGAGCTTTCAAAGGAATAAAAAATGTCGATGATATCTCAAGCACACTTTGTTTCATTTAATTTTAAAGAAAGAGACTATACAACCTACTGGGCTTATTTTAATTCTTTCGCTATCTGCAAAGCATCCATCAATACATTTCCTAGTTACTGAAATGGCCGCAAATCAGTGCTAATATAAAATCCCACTACACGAGGTGCCAGCAAAGTTATTCATCAACAATCCCTTTCCTAATGGCTTTTTTCCACGCACACGCCTAATGAATGGGTATTTTTCAAAGGTATAAGTATAAACAAAACGGTAACCAAGATAATAAAAGTACAATAAAAGTACGCACCCAGGTCATACTTCATGTCTACTGATATCATCTGCATTACTTTTTTCATCTACATTCTGTTTATCATTTCACGTATAGAACTCCATTGAGTAATTTCAGATTACATTCGGTTTTAATGACTGATACTACCATTTAAATAACGGTGAGATCTTTGTTTATGGCAGAGTCGTCGGCCAAGTCATTTCCGCCTTTGATAGCGTTTCGGGGTTTGTTTCACGAGAATCTTCAACCATATCGTTTCATGTGTCTTTCACTGTGAATTCCAGACATTAATTTTGTTTTTTATCGTCTCAAAAATATTATGAAAGACCGATGAACATCCTGCTGCTTCTCTTATCGTATTCTCCTGCAAAAATTATAATTTATTTATTTATTCAAAATTTGGTATACAAACACGTAAATACCCATGGAAGCATCCACTGATAGTAGTGGTTACAGAGGTACACGGTGTCAACAGATTCAAGAAAAAATAAAAATTAATGAATTAATACATTTCATACATACTAACCAATTATTTTTGCTATGTGTTGAATATTCTTTTCATCGTTATTTTAAAGGATTTCAATGTAATAGAGAAAACATTTACACTACTACAATATTTGCTGAAAGAATCACACATTCTAGTAATTGGGGAGTTTTTGTCCAAATTTGTGTTGAAATTCGGACTGGCAAGTAGATTTCTGTTTCTAGTGTTCCTATGCGGAACGTGATAAAAAATAATTGATACTAGATTGGGTGAGTCATAACAGTTTGTTAAAATTTTATAAATGAAAACTGAGTCGTTTATTATTCTTCATTGTTCTGTAGTGTAGTATTTTGTAGTGAGATTGAATTTCGCTAATGCCAAGTGTTACATAAATCTTCGTTATTTTGAAATGCAAGAACATTACAAATCTGTTCTGTAGTCTTTCTAATCGTAATGTATGCATATTAGGAATCACACGTTAAAAGGTAAGACCTCGTTAGTCCTTAGCTCGCACAAATTTCTCAACTTCTGAGAGTTGTCGTTCGTATGGGGGCGACGGCTGATTAACGGAAAAACAGAACATATTCAAACAGATTATAATGGGGGCTCCGTATGACACTTTCGATATTAAGTTTGCTATAAACAAATGCATAGTAAATAGATTTGATTGCTGCCTCGTTGTTGAAGTCTTTGCATATTCTGCAGAAAAATCCCAAGGTTTGGCTGCAGGAATTCATTACATAATTCATATGGGGATTGAAAGTAATTTTTGTATCAAATTAGATTTCAAGATATTTAATTTGGTCTACTCTGTTAATAATATTATTGCCCAGGGAGTATTGAATATGTATCGGTATGTTGTTTCTGCAAAAAGATATACATGCACATTTATTAATATTGAGTTTTAATTTATTGAGGCAACAGAATTCCAAAAAAGCATTGAGGTCTTCCTGAATCTTTGGATTAACTAATACACAAAATGAAACATAATCAGCTAGCCCTACGAACGGTGTATAATTTAGTTTTGTTCAGTTTCTGAGATTGATGGATCGTGGATAATGATAATTCAGTAAGAAAAAAGAAAATTTATTATAATTTTTCGAACATATCCGACTAAAATTACATAGTTTCCGTTGTGACACTAGTCCACTATGCGCTTGAAGCCTATGAGTAAACCAGAAAAACGCCTGTAAAGCCGAATACTGATTTCGTTATGTAATTATCCTCGTAGAAATTCGGGAAATTGCAACTATTAGGTGTTCTGGAAAGTTCGTAGGCTAACACACAGATGGTGCTACTAGTATTAGATTCATATGATTTTTAGTTAACCCTAACTTCTGTTACTTGAAGAGAATGAATGAAAAAGAACTTGGTGTGTTAATAAAACATTACTTTATCAACATACTGCTAGGTACCTGTGTCAATTTTACAATGTTGCCTTATTTACTAATCCGGTAAATCTGACAATTGAAAATATTATTTCAACAAGCTATATAGTAAACTATTATGTATTGATCCACCTTCGTTATTCATAATATTATCATCATGTTTACTTATTTCTACACTCTCATAGGCATCTAGATGCCTGTTGTTGTTAACTTGTCTACTAATCCTAATGAACTGAGGTTTATGGTCAACCCTGAAGAGGCATAAGCCTATAGCAGGGCCTCACACAAAACACACTTTCACAATACTTTGTAATTTCATCCTGAAGCTTAATAAACATTTTTGACTTGACTTGACTTGACTTGACTTGACTTGACTTGACTTGACTTGACTTGACTTGAAATTTATGGAAGATTTTGTTGCAAAACATGATGGTCTTCCATATTTTGGCTAAGTGTTCCATATATCTTATTTTAATAGAACCTTTAGTCTGTCCATAATATTTTACATCCCAATTCTTACATTTAATTTCGTAAATTCCAGACTTTTCCGAATTCCCGACTTTGTCTTTTGGATTTCCTAAAAAAAGGCTCTGTAGTGTATGACTTGTTTCGAATACCATTTTATTAAATACCATTTTATTTAAAACAAATCATACACTACAGAGCCTTTTAGGCTCTGTAGTGAGGACTGCGATGCAAAAAACTCGAATTTATACGACGATATGTGACAATGGATGAAACATGGCTCCATTATTTCACGCCAGAATCAAAACGATCGTCATCTGAGTGGACTGTACGTAGTGAACGACTCCACTG